TGCCCTTCTCTCTGGGGTACAGTGGGCAAAGGAACTGGATCACCGGGGACCCCTTTCTCCCCTTGTGACGGCTTGACTGATTAGCCAGGAGCTGGGTCACACTTGCCTCTTCTGCTGCTGCTGCTTGTGTCAAGGCTAAGAACACTTCAATAGAAAAGCTTGAGTCTGTTTCTTGCTGGAGCCGAACCGTTTTCCTCTCGTCTGTTTCTCTATCTCAGCCTCTAACTTGCCTCCTACATGCAACAGTGACGTTTTAGGATACGGTTATTACAGCTTAATTAAAGCTGTTTGAAGAATCACAGATAGTTGAAAAATTACATTCAGTAATTCGCCAATGTTCATTACTTCATGAGCTTTAATTCCTAGACACAATCCTCTGGCGTCGATGCAGCTGTGTGAGCAGCCCGATGCTCCTACAGCTGCGCTCACCTTGCGGAGGTGCCGTTAGGTTACGCAGAGCAGTTGTGCGAGTGTAGGTGTGCAGCACTTGTGACACCGAAGAGGATCGCGTACTCTTTAAGTGGATGAAGGTACCAAATGACGCCTAATGACATAACTACATAGATGCTTCTCTGATGCTCCTATTTAGGACTTGGTGCTTAAACACGACCTTGGAAGCTTCAGGAGTGAGTGAGAAACGCTTGCAGGAATGTGCGTGTTTCAACAGATGTGAAATAGAGCCTGTGGAAGTGTCTGTGATGCCCTCTGCGAGGGGGGTGGCTGAGTGGTGTGCCTGCTGGGCCCTTCGCTCAGTGTGGGGTTAAAGACAGGTAGCGTGAGGAGCTGCTGGGACTGTGAGTACACTTTCACTTGAAGTACTGCTGTTACGGGGCTGAGCGACGTGATTTTTCCATGATTATCTCCTTGGCCCTTCGAGCGGCTACAAAGGGCTGAGCCACTGAAGTGGAACGCTGGTGCTCCGCGGTCTGCTGCTGGGTGTGCCTCGCTGTAGGACACTGTACCCCTTGGTGGGAGATGTTCCTTTTCTCGCCCCGCTGTGGGTTATCTGTCTCTTCACTCATCCGGGGAGAGCTTTTCCTTGTGACCGGCACAGCCCGAGGCTGTGTCAGCGCCGTCTCTCCTCACTGCTGTTACTGTCGCCTCCTCCTCTGGCTGCTTCGGTTCCTCCCCCCGTCCCTCTTCTGAGGCAGCTGACGGATACTTGGGTAACTCTGAATTCTCAGGTTTGCCCGTGTGGAAGGAAGGGTTTGGGGAGGGCTCCGGACCCCGTACTCTGATCTTTCTCTGCACCCTTTTCAGAAGGAACAGTTCTGTCTGGGTGAACTCAAAGGCATGCTTCTGGCTACAGAGTCATCTTTTAAATAGCGATGCGTTTATGCAACTGTTAATTCAGAACTTGCATCAGAGAAATCTGACATAGCGCTGAGGGTTACCCGTGAGCGGCTCAATGGCATCTTACATGGCCCACTAAAAGCCTTCGCTGTTCATTTGAGAACAAGCCCCTCCCAAACACATGTGGAAATACTTCGGGGGGATTTTTTTCTTTTAGGAATGTTTAAAAGACCCATAATGTTTTCTGCCCAAGGGAGGACTTCAGCTATTAAAAAAAAAAGAAAAAATTAAGCTCTGAAATTATTATTGCAGGTTCTGAAATTATTATTGCAGGTTCTAAACAAAACCTTAGTGAGTAATTCATGATAGCTGAGGAAAAAGAACTGGGTTTTGGCTTCCTGTAAAATAAGCTCACTGACACTGCTAACGTGAACCGCTTGTCTGAACTTGTTGAACGAGGCAGGACGCTTCGGTAATAGAATGCTACAGAAAAACTCATGTGCAGTAGCTAAGTGGAGGGAAATGTATACCAGCCCTCCTTTAAAATACCTGTAATTACCCATATTTAAATATGAAAGCATATAGCCATTGTATAGCAAAGTTCACGAGGGGGAAAAAAAAAAAATTGTTCCAGGACTTGAACTCAAACACCACTTGTAGATTTATATTGAGGGGACGTAGGCTGTAAGCAATTAATGACGTTTTATTTTACTTGTTATTAACACAGTTGAATAAAAATTATAAAGAGCTTTGATGCTGAGATTTTCGGGATACCCCCTGATCCACAAAATGAGCTCCAGGTTTTCCAAGCCGTCATGAAAGGTCTGAATTTTTAGCTACTTTTTTGTTGGTTTGTGGTGGTGGTTCTGCACCTCCCCGACTTGCGCCAAAAGCCGATGGTAAAGGCTGCAGGAGAATACTTAAAAGACTCTAACCGGAGCTGTAAACCGTGGATTTTGGCACTCCCCTGTACTAACACACTGTGCTTTTGTCTTGATGTAGAACCCGAACTTCAATGAAGGAGGAAGACCCTGCCGTTCTTATAGCAGAAGTTCTGAGAAGAAAATTTGCCCTCAAGGATGAGGATCTGGCCCTGAAGGAGAAATGATGTTACTGTCGTTAAACTCCGTAAGCAAAAGTGTTACGCTCCCAAAATTTTCTCCACAGTAGCTGCCTTCCTAAGGATTGAGCCTTTTGCCTCTTTTATTAATCAGAAATGGTTTCTGCGCTGGACACTTACTTAGGAAAGACCCTGCGGATTTGATGTGTTTTCCATGTATTGTTATATTTAAGAAAAAACTTTTTAAGAAGATGGAAATTCTTTTCCACCTGTATTTTGATGTTGGTTATTGATAAGGATCTTCTGAAGGGTGCAATGAGTGCTGCTGGATGACATTCTTTCTACCTACAATTTTCCTTAGGTTCAAATTAAGCATTAACTGATAACGTCCTTGTTGCGATATAACTAGTTACCATTTCCAGTATAAACGGATGTCAAACGTCCCGTCTTTCTCTGTTCCGAGTACGGTACAGAGCTGCTGAGAATAAGCTCGTGAATGCTTCCAGGTCTTCAGTGTTGAGGAGGTGGTTGAATCACGGGGGTAAGAGGCGTCTTCCCGGTAACTCTGCCTGACCCGACGGCTGGGTGAAGCTGCAGTCAATGATCAAAGCGCTCAGTCACGTCTAAGGGATGCTGCCCCGGGTATTTCTTCACTCACAAACTATCCCCACAGTTGCATGACGGAATGGCCTTAATTTCTTGCCAGTAATTTAATGTTTCATGAATGGTCCTTGTATTCAGATAATGTATTCTATTTAGCATTCAAAAGGTCTATTTATTGAACCACCGATGCTAAGAACCGAGCACCCGCCCCAAGAGCTGTCATCTGAGAAAGGGGGGAGAAGGAACTTGGCATTGTCTGTGGCTACAGTTCTCACTAACTGAAGAGGTTTCCTTCAGCTACACGTTCTCTGCAGTGTTCCTCACGGCTGTATTTGAAGTATGGGGTTTTTTCCTTTCTATAAAATGGAGCCTTAATAAGACAATGGTTGTCCTTGCCGTCACTAATGCGCGCGTGTCCAAACATGGCAGCAGTGGTGCTCGTATCTCGGGGAGGCTGGGGAGGGGGGTGTGTGGAATTTCAGCTGCTGCAGATGAATGTAGTCAGATGCCAAGGATTTTTTTAATCCACCAGGCCCTCAGCCCTTGAAAAATTAAACCATCCTCCCCACCTTAAAAGCGAGAGAGGCGGCTTGTGTTGCCTCTGGCCACCCAGTGAGCGAGAGCAGAAATAGCATTTACGACTTAATCAGTTTTATAGGGAGTTACTACAGCTCTTCCCCTCTCAGGGGCACACCGAGAGCCACCGGACGACGAGATCGTTCCCCCTCTGTCCCCACAAGGCTCCTCTGCATAACGATTTGGTGGGAATACACCTGCCTGCGGAGAAGATGGAGCTGCAACCAAGAGTCCCTGTTCCTGGACGCGTGCTCCATGTGCAGGCGGGATATGAGAGCGATTAGCTTCCGGACTATGACATAGCTCCAGCGTGGTCTATTTTAGTATTCTGGCCCAATGGGAGAGTAAGGACAGCTTCAATGGCAACACTTACAGTGTTAAAGACATAGTCCACATTCAAAAAAAAAATAAAACAAAAAGTTAAAAAGTGCTGCTGACAAAGCAGGCGGCTGTTCCGGAGCGCGATCACGTCACAGACGGACGCTGCTGTCTGCTGCTCCTGACCCCTGGGGTTTTTGAGCAGCTGGTCCCTGCACTTCAAAACAGATAAATCTAAAGCACGCCCATCCAAAACGCTGTGCATCCAAAAGCGGGGGATTAAGTTGAACAAGCCCTACAAGCAGCGTACAGGAAGTACCGCTGCTGGTGGCGAGACCTGGCAGCTGCCACGCGCAGTTAACCCAACGCTGACCAGCTCTGACTCCAGCCCGGAGCGCTCGCTGCTCCGCTTTTCACCCCCCCCGGGGCCAGGCTGACGGCATCGAGCTGCGGCTGTAAGCCCTTGCGGGCACACCCCGCTCCGTCTGGGTGCATCCCCGCCTGTGAAAGAGCTGCGAGTCCAGCGTCGGGATTACAGCCCATTTACGATTCCTCTTTGTCACAGTCTTCCTCGCTTTAAACCTCTGGCAAGTCTGGCCCCAGCAGTTACGTGCTGCGCTCTCGCCTGCGGCTAGCAGAGGTGCAGCTTTCACAGTTACGGGCACACAAGCTGAAGAGCGTGAACCTGCCCTTACTGCCACACGCACCGGCTGGCACAACCGCAGTCCTGAAAGAAGCAGAATGTGCCCCAGCCTAGTACTTCCTCGAGGCAGCTAACGTCTCTGAGCTGAGCCCAGAGAACCTTTACATTTGGACCTTCAGGATCCGAAGAAATACAGACATGTTAGCAGCGGGCTTTCAGGCTGAAGAGCGGCGCGCTACATAAACACCAGTAATACGAACGCCAGGCCTTAGCCACACAGGCTGTAATCACGATTGAAACAATCAAACCATTATAAACGTACTCCTTCAACATTCTATTTTTATTAAAGCAAAATTTCAGAGAACAAAGAGGTCCTGTCTGTTGCATGGGTCTACTGCTGGCTAGGCCGCGTATCTAGAAACAATGGGTACACTTACCTAATTCTGACCGCTTTCTTACAAAAAAACGCTTTCCTGAGGCTTCACAAGAGGTCATTAGGCAACTCATTTAAGGTCACTTATCAGTGTTTAATCACTCTGTTCCCTTCCGAATCCTGCGTGAACAGCAAATCATAGCACACATCTAACCACAGCTCCCCCGGTTCGCTCAAGCTCCTGTTTGCAGCATCGCTGGAACGGCCCTTGTACGGGGCGTCGGGCAGCTGCCCGCGAGAGCTGCCGTCGTCCTTGCGAGGAGACGGGGCGTTCTGGCAGCGGTGAGCGATCCCTCTGTTCCCCTCCGAATCCTGGGTGAACAGCTGCCTGCAGGGACTGCTCGGTCCCATCTCACTGCCCCATCCCTCCTCGGCTGAACCAGCACCAGGGTTCTGGCTGCGCTCTCTCAGAGGCTGCGCTCTAGCCGGTCGTTGTGGAGATGAATAAAAGCCAGCAGCTTTATATCCTCTCATTACAGTAGGATTTATATTCTCGGTCTCAGAGAAATCAAATAAAGAATTAACGCTACTCGAGCGGTGTGGTTCCTTGTTCTGGTTTGCACCAAGTCTTGGCTGGAACTCAAGTCCGGTCTTGGCCTCCCCTGGGAGCGGCCGGCCCGCCCGTTTGTTTATCCCGCGGTCTGACGTTACGCTGCCGCTTGCAGAAAGCGTTTCTCCAGCAAAGAAATGGGACTCGTTTCTGTGAGCGATGATCCGGTCGCCCTCTGAATCCTGAGTGAAGCTGAAGAAGCGGCAATCCTCTCCCGCCCCACAGGAGGCTTCACTCGTGCTGTGGGACTCCGCTTGTAACAACGAAGAGTCCGGCAAAGGAGTCGGCGAGGCCGGTGCTTTCTGTGCACGACGCCGGGGTGTAACCTCCGCCGTCTCCTCCGCGGCTCTGAAGGATTGTGTCTGGGCTTTCTCCATCCGCGGCAAAGCCAAGATCTTCACGGGGGAAGCAGCCAAAGAAATACCTTTTTCTTTACAGTCTTTATTCGGGATGAAAGGAGAGGGCCTGGAGTTTTCTTTGTCTTTTTCACCTGAAAACAACACGGAATTGGATAAAGCCAGAGCTGGCACACACAGCTGCTGAGGCTGTGGTGGAACGGCCGCCTAAAACCTTGGAGTACTTCAAAAAAGTAAGCTTCCCTCAAGTGAGATGCCAGAGCTGCATCTCCGGCTGCTCCAGTCTTCGGCTTCTCTGCCTTCCTCCTCTCAGCTTTCCAGGCAGTTCACCTATGACACCCCCTTTAAAAGCAGCAGCTCAAGAGTTACCCAAAAAAACCCACAAAACCCCACAGTGAAACTTCTACAGCTTGCCCTCGTCGCCTGATCAAGGCATCAAGACCCACATTTGCTTCTGAAACCATTTTTATATTAAATCTAATATAACTTTCTCAACGTAAGAGAGCTCCTCCTCAATTCAGGACGTGCTAGAAGAAAAAAAAAACCACAAGTAAGAAGTACTCCAGCATCCTGAATCCTGCAGACCTCTGGATGAACAGCGGCAGCATTCGATGAACCCAAACGCCGTGAATAAGTGAATGCAATCAATGGAGGGAAGCAAACGAAAAAAGAGAGGAAAGCACACAACACGTTCGAGAGGAGTAGGAATAACGAATCCAAAGCAAAACCCATCAATGGCCCTGTCACAACACAAAAATTCTGTCAAATAATTAAATTGTACAGTTTACGTAATGCTTCCTCCCATCTGCTTATTGCTGAACTAGTTTAGCGTTGATGAACTCGCCGTTACACAACTGACAACACACAAACAACCACACAACCCTACGCTGCCGGTTTCCCCATCCACTTCATTTCTCTCCAGATTTGTTAATTTGAGACCCACGGACAAATCCCGGTTTCTTGCATTCCGGAGCACAAACGCAGCCTCAGAAGCACAGAAGCTGCGAGCTGGCTTAATCAGCTTAAATATCGCAGTCCCCTGTGACTCCTTCATTGGTTCAGTTAGGATTAAACGTTGCATTCTTTAGAAAAGGCTTTGTCTAACCCTTCATAAAAAGCTTTCCCCGCACACATCCCGCCGATTCCCCTGCCAGGGAGGTTGTTTGAACCAAGTAACGTTCATTTTCACTTCCAGCTGTAATGTTCTTCCAAGGGCATTTAATTTGACAGTTTAGGGCTGCTGTCGTTTAGAACAAACCTGGCACGTAACGCCCTGGCCGCTGCCCCTTCCCCGGGCAGGGAGAGCTGCCCACAGGACACCGCCGGGCTCGGTGCTCCTGCCCAGACCGCACCCTGCCCCAGCCGAAGGGGCGTTCCCGACTGGACTGTCCTTTACGTGATACCATCGGGCGACCCAGAACTGGACGTTTTGCCACCTGGACGGTTCGTATCGGCGCTCGGGCTGAGCCAGGCTTCCCAACAGTCCACTGAAAGCTCCAGTTTTGCAGGGAGTAAAGCCTGGTGCGTTATTTAGAGTTCAGCTCGCTCTCCAGTGAAGGCTGGCTGTGACTGCTGTTACTTACGCTTTAGTCTAACGCTGCAGAAGGTGCCTACGTTTAGATTAACCATCGCAATAAAATCCCCTCCGGGAGTTCAATCCTTTAACCTTTACCCTCTTCACTAGAAAATGCACTTTCTGCCTACTAAAGCTGCCAAGAAATAAAGTGAGATGGGTTTCCTATTACGGCCTGAAACTACTCTCCTACAGGGGCATACGCTGTTCCATGTTACCTGTCTGGGTGCCGAAGAAGGCAGAGATGGTGGTTTGCTTGGTGCGTGGCTGAGGGACTCTTGTCCGCGTGAAAGCGATCGAGGCGTGCTTCCTTTCCAGAGCTCGACTGGGCGCTTTTGGTTTGGCTGTGAGAGGCTGGGGAGGGAAAGAAGCAAGCGGAAAGTGAACACGTGCCATTAAAAATAATTCTACCCTTCCTCCAGCGTCGTGGCCTAATTCCCACCTTTGTTAAATGCTTCAACTCTTCCCGTGACACCACCACAGA